TAACTGCGCTAGTTTCATTAGGTTCAATAGTTAGCTTGGGGTTAGTATAGTTTATATACACGTGAATCAGTATAACGATCCTAATGGTTCAAATGGCTGCGGATGAAATAGAAGAAGCATTCGATTAATGGACGTCCATGTCTAGAAGCAGTGGATCACCAATACCTACCAATACAGGGACCTGAAGAAACTCATTGACATGAGTAGCGCAAAAAAACGGAGAAAACAAAGTTGACTCGATGAAAGTTTGCGATAACCGTGGAATTTCAGCACACTGGAACATTAAATTATTGAGCTACACAAAAAACCACAGCCATTACTTACAAAGATTGAATTTATATTTTAGGGTCAGTGAAATGTCATGAGTCCTAGCCAAATCAGCCTGTAGTCGAGTCGCTGAATAGCGAACAAATCATTGATCCCTGTCAAGGTCAAGGATAATTAACGCTCATCAGTTGGTCGTTTGTCATGGGCTGACGCATGCGATGGTGGTCTAGTTATCTTCACTGTACTCATTATTGCTAATATGTTTGCCTTATTGGGTCCATTGTGTTGTAAGTCTTCAAAGCAGCCGTAGTAATTTGATACTTCGAAAGGGTAGTCAGAGTTAGATGTTGACCGTGAAGTATAACTTGGAAGTTAGCTGGTACGTAAAACTATTCCTGTCTGACTCGAGTAGGCCTTCAATCATTCGTTTTCGTTGGTGACCTACACTGGTGAGCCCGACGTGATCTGATACACAAACTTGCAAACTGTGAGTCAGTTCCGTCTTGGAATTCTATAGATCATTGTCTTGTTTTGTTTTTTATATATTGTGACATTTTTTCATGTTGTTGAATATACAAATATGTATTACCTCGTTCATCCTTATATTTCATATTAGCCATGACGGAACAGACACCTAAGTTACTTAAGTTAAAGACTATGACCCCACCTTCATTTCAACTAATGCCCTTCTAGCCAGACAACATTGAAGACCTAACCAGTTGACAATTCCTTAATAATATCGATCTGCGACACGGTCCTGTATATGAAATGTTGTTAATAATGAAAAGGGTGAGTGGCCAAAGAAATTTCAACGACTGCTTATTGAGACAAACTTTCTTGCCTCAACTTTCTGAACAGGTTCAAGATTTGCTTATCTCGTTTCAAGACAGCGCCGGGGACGAGCTGGCTGCGTCTGCAGACCGCATTTTAGAGATCACCAAATGTTCTAACGACGACGATTTATAGCACGATAGATCTATTCTATCAACAATAACACGATAAGTTCTCTGAGATATAGTAAACGCAACAGAAATTGCCGGGTGTAATCAGCAATGTTATACATCACATCACGATTACAAGACCACCTATATTTTCTAAAGCGGGCCGACTAGTTCCCGAAGAGCTTATGTTGTTTTCGAACGAATCCGATCAGATGATAGATTTAGGAATCATTCGGCCATCAAACAGTTTATGTGCATCTCCCTTTCATATGGCCTCTAAAAAAGACAGCAACGACTAGCATCCAACTGGAGACTATTTGCGATTGAGCGCGTATATCATTCCCGATCATTACACCTTGTCCCACATTCACAATTTGGCAACTATCTTGAGAGGTACAACTGTCTTTTGGAAACCTGTTTTGTATAAGGCCTATAAAGAAATTCTTATGGCTTCTGGCGACAGATTTTAAAACGTTATCATAAATTCTTCCGGTTTCTACGAATTTTCGCGCATGCTTTTCGGCTTAAGAAATGCTGCACAGACCTTCCAAAGGTTAATAAATGACGTTTTTTGAGGTCTCAACTTCGTACATGCGTATGGTGACTGCTTGATAGCAAGTCTTCGGAGTTCGACAATAAATTAACCAGTAAAAGATTTAATAATCGAAATTCGATAGAATATCGATATATCGAGGAGTGACCAGTCTTAGCTGACTCGCAATTTTAGGAGAAATGAAACACGGCGTTCTCAATCGTGATCTGGTGTGGATGCATGACCAAATGCCTTCAGCTAACTAAAACTAATATGGTCAGTATCAAATGTCGAAGACTTTCAGAGCTACTGACTTTTGGGATTTATTTAACGCTATACAACGATCAATGACCAACCATATGTTATCTTCACTGTCACAAATCATAAAGCATAACTTTTATTAATGTTGCTAAATGAAGCCCTGAGATTTACGAAATATGTGACCCTATCTTGCATCATTGATTCTACCATTGAGCTAGCCTGCGTTTTTACCTGCAACACCTCTACATTTAAAAGAAAAACCCTGTAAAAAAAGAAGTCAGGAATGAGCGAATTGGAAGTCACCGATATTTAGAGAAACGTTTGGTTTAAACTGGCTAGTAGTTTTTGTTAAACCCAAACTAAGGTTTGGACTAAAGAATATATGTCAAGGAGGGTTAGATACGCGCTCTTGCAATGTTGAAACCAAAATAAAGTGATAGGGCAAAATGACGGTTCTCAAATTCATCATAAATATGAATGCACATTTTTACCTAAACAAATATGGCCACTCAGCTATCTAACCAATAATTGTTCGATTAAATAAATATAAATTATAATAAATAAGGAAGTTGATAAAGGATGCAAGAAAATTGCCAATCACAACAAATAAATGTTATTATATTCTGTCTGGATAGATCATACACAGATTCGTTGAGAAGATAATATTCCGTTGTTTTATAACAATTCCATTTCTGGAAGAGTACCTCAATTCACAATCGAAAATGCACAATTCCAGTCAACGCAAACAATGCAATCAAAAGGAGGAACAAACCAATATGGCTGCTGCCAAGACTAAGTATCAAGTAAAACAACATAAATGCAGTTCAGGAAGAAACACGGAATCTTAATGAATGCGTAAGAAAAATAAAATTATGATAAAACACAAATAATAACAAATCAAATGGAATCAAAAAGACTAACGATGTACAACTAAAGGAGTCGATGGGAACAAACCGCGAATGTATACATGGAGGGATTTTCACACACAAAGCATTCAAATTAGATCTTACAGTTTCAAGCTATACGTTGCACGACGTACTCACTAATAATGTGATGTGGATGCATGACCGGGAATTTTCAGCCATGATGCTGCGTGCGAAACTAATAAAGTCAGCATCACTCGCAAATACCTTCAGTAATGTTCATTGTTGGAATTTGTATACCACCACAAGCCATTCCTCTCTAGTGAAGTAGTAATAACCTTTAGATATTGTAATGTGGCGTTGAGTCGCATTTGAGTATGATCACCATTACCAGAAGATTGCATACCAGAACACGCTAAACCTCCGAGTAAACCGGAAATCGAAAGGCGATTGAAGGATGTAGCGAGATATATGTGTTGTCGATCTTGTGGTATCGAAATAATAACGAGACCGTGCTAAAGGAGAATAAGCGGAACTACTGAGCAAACGTAGGTTTGTGCAAGATCACAATCAACGGAAGGAAGAATGTCTTTAGTACAGTCAAACAAACAGGTGCAGTAAAACAATCACTGGTACAATTGGTTATTATAATAGTTGTTTCCATTACACCAACCGCGTTTTCTTGATAAAAGCAGGTCATGACATTATGAAAATCCCAAGAATACAACGAAGTGGTTGTGAGACGCGATAAGCAGAACAAAATAAAACCTTGGCAATTTCCTACATGCGGTAGTTGTTCAATCGTTCTAGAAACACTAATGTTCGTCCGACGGGATGGGAGTGCATATCGCATACCAGCGGGGTTTTGTTATGGTAGTTCATAATCGGGGATAGTATCGTGGTCGTGAGGCTTGCATCTGATTTTACTCGGAAACGAAGTCAATATAATTAGTGCTCTATTGCCTGAGACCTACAGGACTATTTATTTTGACCAGCTATTCACCGTTACACATTCCTGGATAAATTCTGGTAAATTTGTTGGTTAGAAAATAGTTGTCACTGGTTAATGATGCTATTGAAACAGTTTTTCACAAGCTAAATATGGCATAGCTTCACTATTAATGACCCTGCTATAATTAGGAAGCTGCTCCACTTGATAGATCATTTGTCTAGTGTCCAGTAATAATGAACTAGCCTAAAAATGTTGGTCATACCTCGTTGAATATCCTTGCCGTCTAAAAAAAATCCGAGAGGTTTATTCGCAGTTACTCATCGAAAACGTAATCTAAAATGTCCTCAGATAATTCGTTGTCCTAGATCAATTTACCTAACATCACCAAACTGTTTTAAATGTACGATAACAGCCTAATTTTTAAAAGAATTCATCCGAAATAATTCCGTGCATAGTTGCGAAGTAAAATCATATTTCATATACGTCAACAGTAGTTCAAATGTGTCGTTTATTTGCTTAGTGTGGATAACTTCATGGACTTTACCAGGTCATAGATTTCAGGTTGTAAAGCGCGACATACAAGATTTGTGACTAATTACTAAAAAGTTATTCTATGCAACAATAATATCGAAAGGAAATACTACAAATACTTAGGATTTACCTGTGACTTGACATTTCATTGAGCTTTACCACAGTTGTCGGGATCACAGATCAAATTATCAAGCAACAACAGAGCCAAGGTGTACAATCAAGACAGAAAATGCTAAATTAATGCTTTTGGTATCTGTTTCGTGGTTTTTTATGCAGCATAAGATGGCTTATATATGAAAAAACTTGATACTCATACAATCCAACTAAGTCACGGCAATTGAAATACGGAATAACCGCCCCTAGTCAGGCCGTGCATGGCCGTTGAAACGAAATTGCGGGCTTATTCGAAGGGACCTAACGTTTAAACCGTGCTGCAGCAATGGTAGTTCGCTCGTTTATACGTAGATAATTCTATGAACACTGCTCTCGTTTGTTGTTATGTCTAGCAAGCAAAAAATAGCAATCTGGAACTTTATGGTTAGTATGGAGAAATATTTAGTATGTTGTTTCCAATAAGTGCTAACTGCTTAACCTGCCGGCAAACTCTAATTTAGGGACGAGCCAATCAGAAGCGTTTGAGCAATTTCAAGGTCACAGAGCCATGTTCAACACGCGATGCTAACATACGATCGGTTCACAGCGGATTTTAGAGAGTAGGTGATTAATGAGAGGTTACAACAGATGGGACGGCGAGACTCTAATTAAGGGACGAGCCAATCAGAAGCGTTTGAGCAGTTTCAATTATTAGCCAATTAGAAGACAATATGAAGTAAAAATATATTACAAGAAAGTAATGAATTACAGTAGATATTCTTCTTTTACCTGATTTAAAAACTTGTTAAGGTTTGATAAAGGCTCAGAAGTTTTGAATTCATAATGCATATGGTACAGAAACTCGTCCATAGGGTTAGGGTTAGAGGCTAGGGTTAGGTTTAGGGTTAAGTTAGGGTGCTAACATACGATCGGCTTACATCGGATTTTATAGAAGAAATGTTTATTGAGATTTTACAACCCTTACCTAAACCATAATCCTATGGACGAGTTTCTATACCATATGCATTATGAATTCAGAACCTCTGAACCTTTATGAAACCTTAACAAGTTCTTAAATCATGTAAAAGAAGAATATCCACTGTAATTGATTACATACAATATATTTTCACTTTATAGTTACTGTCTCCTGATTAGCTTATAATTGTCAAGGTCATTCAAGAATCGTTCGAAGGTCGTCCTTAAATTAGAGTCTCGCCAACCTTCCTATTTTGGCGAACTTAGGTAATTTTTCAGGTTTTTTCCCGAAATCTTATAAATATAATAGTTTTCCCCAAAGTTTAAGGGAGTTTTGGGGAAAACCCTAAAGTGTAAGATTTGGGGGAAATTTGGAGAAAACCTAAACATTTGCCCAAACATTTACAAAAATTCCTACAGACCTGGAGAAATTTCGGGAATTTTCATGCCATTTCCCTAAAACTTCTTTAAGGTGTCCTATCGTGGTTCCCCTCAAATAGGGAGATTAGGTGTGTACAGCGTTAATGCTGTTTCTAAAATGGACAGTTGTATTGTTTCTCGTTGAATTAGTCAACTGTTTTGATCGCAAGTTACGTATCAAAACTACGATTTACACTTCAATTGAATCTACTACAGTTAAAGTGATATTCTATTGAGTTTTTTGGCTTTTGTGTATTTATTACATTCGAAAGCATTCTTGGTCTGTATCAAAGTACATTAGTTAAGGTTTGACATCTTGCTAAACTTTATCTTGTGGTAAGGTTTTATTCATTGACTTACATTTGGGTTCATACTGTGATCATATTGTGTGTTACACCTTGATCAGACTAAAATAGTTGGTAGTACTCACAAATTTGGACAAGCAAACTGTTTGTTCCTTGTGGAGAAGGGAATGCAGTGTGACGAATGCAATAAGTGGTTCCACAAAATGTGCACCCGTTTAAGTCCCACTGCATACAAAAGATGTTCGAAGCCTAACTCACATTGGCTTTGCATGTTTTGCTGTGCCAACAGGTCATTACTAATACAGGAGGCTATGAACCTATTGGCTTTGGCCTTTAAGAAGAGCGATGGCATATGCGCTGACAACATGGGCACTGACAGTGACGAATGTGTCAGTGTAGTATCTGCTGTTACACGGCGCCTCAAACAACCGACGTAAAAGTGAAATCTTCGTTGACATTAACAGGGGAAGTAGTACCACCTAGCACTAACATTGTTAACAATGCACCTTTAGTGGGAACCGAAGATCTGGATAAAAAAATCACCGTCCCAAATAGTCCCAGTGTTATGAGGGATGAAAAATGGATTACGGTACGTAGGAAACGAAACGAAATGAAAAAAGCTGTAAGCAGTAAACAGGTAGTTAGTAACTCACTGGTGGACTCAAATTGTGAGCCACAAATTGCACTACCAAGATCTGATGGTAAGAGTGAAACCCATCCTGGCGTGACTGAGAAGAAAAATCTAATAACATCGAATATTATTGTGAGCGAATTGCGGGAGTCAAACAACCCTGATCCGAAAATTAGACACGCGCATGACTTAGAGAAGCTAGGAGAATACATTCGATGTATTTTACCAGATAACTCCCAAGGAGTTCAGGTCAAAAAATTGGTAAGAATAGGCAAGAGGACCGAGGACAATGATGAACGCCGTCCATGCAGACTTCTTAAGGTAATCTTAGGATCGGAGACGCAACGGGATCTCTTGTTAAGTAGCGCTCGTTGTTACGACAATTCTGATATCCGAGTTAGACCTGACATGCCTTTCGAAGATAGAATAAAAAGGAAGAAAGCACTAGCTGAACTTGAAACCCGTAGGCAAAACGGCGAGGAAAATCTCCGGCTAGTGGGTTTTCAGATAGTCAGGTCTTGGAAGCGAATGCTACCAAGGCCTGTGTAGATAGGCTGTTCTACTTAGGAGTTTTATATGCCAACGCTCGTAGTCTACGAAATACCTCTATGAACTAGAAGCACTAGTGGACAGGTTAAAGCCACTCATAGTAGCAGTGACAGAAACGTGGTTAGTCCATGACTTATACATTACTCCAGAATTACCCGTATACCATTGCATCAGGAGTGATAGACATAGATGTAGGAAAGGAGGCGGCGTCCTGTTATATATAGCCAATAGCATAAATATCTGCTCCTCTACTAGCGAATCCCATGATAGCGGCACTTGTGAAGTCATTAGCTGTAAATTGGCTATAAGATGTAGTACATTTATGCTAGGTGTCATCTATTGAAGCTCAATCTGCTTAGCTGATGACTTTGTTTTAGAGCACATTCATCTTTGGAGTGAAAATATCAGATGCTTGATAATAGGGGACTTTAACGCACCTGATATTAGTTGGACTGATATGACCACAGAAGGATCTATAAACTCCTTTGATAGTAGGTTCCTTATAACAACAATGGAGCATGCACTAGTGCAGCATGTATCCCAACCCACACGTTTTGGTGTTAACCAGGGTTCTTCTTTGCTGGATTTGGAAATCACTCATGAGACTGAGGGTATTGTCGACTTAAATATTCTTCCACCGTTAGTAAACAGCGATCACGCTGTTTTGTCATTCGCGTTTAGAACTAGGGACATGTTATACGATCAGGTTACACCGCGCCCAAATGTATGGAAAGCTAACATATCAGCCATTCAGGAATGCGCTGCTAAGACAGATTGGTTAGTAGATACTAGCATATCAGTTGAAGAAGCATGGTCTGTATTTAAAGGTAAATTTAGACTAGTTACGTCCCCGTTCATACCATACCTGGTACCGCGAAGACCGAATAATATTCCACCATGGATAACTAAAACGGTCAGGAAACTCCTTAGAGAAAGGAAGAATCACTGGATTATGTTCATCTCTACTGGCTTAGAACAATACAGATCCAGTTATTGTAAGATTTGGAATGCCTGTAAAGCGTTAATAAGCAAAACTAGACTATCATACGAAAAACAATTGGTTAGGGATTCTACATATAGTCCGAAACGGTTATTCTCGTATATAAAAAGGAGAACTAAGAGAAGCGATGGAATTCCATCACTTTGATACGAGATAATCCGTTAATCTTAGCAGAAAATGATGCCGAAAAAGCTGAAGCTTTATCGGAATATTTTAGTAAAGTGTTTTCTATCGGTAATGAAGGACGACCAATGATTCATCGCGACCGTGACGGCTCGTTGATGGATCCTGTAGTCATTGAGAAAGATACTGTTTTAAGGCTACTTCAGCATCTCAAACCTGATAAGTCAAGTGGTCCTGATGATATTCATCCTAGGATTATGAAGGCCATATCAGATGAAATTGCTGAACCATTAGCGATACTATTCTACATGTCTCTGAGACAGTCCAGACTTCCTAGAGACTGGAAAGACGCCATAATAAGCCCGGTGTATAAGCCTGGGTGTAGGGATTTAGTTAGTTACTATAGACCCGTTAGCTTAACTAGTGCAGTTGTAAAACTGGAGAAAATCATTCGAATAGCTGTTATAAACTATTTTGAAGGGCAAAATCTTTTTTTCAGGGCACAACATGGTTTTCGGAAAGGCCTATCTTGCTTGACAAATTTTCTCATTGCACGAGAAGATTGGGCTGCGGCAAAGGATCGGAATGCTCGTGTGGATGTGATTTTCATAGATCTAAGTAAAGCCTTTGATAAGGTTTCCCACTCTGGTCTTAAATTCAAACTGAAACGTTTTGGAATCCATTATACAGTCGTCGATTGGATAAGTAACTTTCTCCATGACAGGAGACAAAGGGTAAGGGTTAATGGTACAAAGTCTATCTGGCCTATCTTATGAAAACAGACTGAGACACCTTAACTTATTTCCGTTATCTTACCGTAGAATACGGGGTGATCTAATATTGGCCTATCGTATACTGAACGATGACCTTGATATCAACATGTCTTATCTTTTGCTTCCGTCTAGAACCGATCATTTGAGAGGACATTCGAAGAAAGTTCAAAAAACGAGATCAAACCGTTTATGTCTGCAGTTCCGTTTCTCGCACCGAGTAGTGAATTACTGGAATTCTCTACCGGAACACGTAATATCAGCACCGTCTGTTAATATATTAAAAACGAGATTGAACCTCCACAGTATTACAAACTGCAAGGATTAATATAGGTCGACAGACCTATCCTTATTACTGAAAACTGAACTAAAATCTCTTAACTAGATAGAAAATTTAGGGTTTCTGTAGCTGAAAAAATCTCTAGCACTTAAGTGCTGTTCAGCACTTTTATTATTAGGGGAAGATTGTTTATGATGTCAATAAATAAAGAGTGTGAAAACTCTCAAATGACAGTGAAAGGTCAAAGAAATCGGTTGGTATCTACTAGCTCATAAAAGAATGTGATCTAAGTGAATGCTAAATATAAGCACAGAGTCCTCAGCTCCCACGCGTTTCGATTACTATTGCTATTACTACTACTACTGTTACTGCATTATGTGTTATAACTAACCTCTTCTGATTGGCATTTAAATTTAATAAAATCAAATATCTTCCTTAAAACCATTTTCAGGCTTTTCTTTTGATATAGGAAACCATACAACTAATCGACAAATTCTCTTGCTACTCATTCATAGCCTCAAAATATAACTAACCAGGCCACATATCTCTACTCGCCTTGGTGATGTTAAGTATAGAAATTTGGGCAGACGGATACGTTTGTTAGGTTTTATGTCATTCATGTTTGCTTTTGTGTACCGATATCCACTTATCTGCCAGAATCCAGGATAATTACACGGAAATAGACTTTTTGTAAGTCCTTTTTGTCCTCCACGGTACGTCTTTGTCTCGTTTGCTTTTGATAGTTACAAGTAGTAAGATGCGTTTATAAATTTTGTTTTCAAATAGAATTTCGTACGAAATTTATGATAGTTGGACAAATCACTTTTAACTGTAATTTATTATATTTCTCTCCACGTTACTGCCCTGGAGCGATAGATTGGTTATTAAGACACTAGTTCTAACCACCAAGTCTCGGGTCCATTTACCACAACTTGTACTTTCGTTTGTGAACTCGGGTAGTATCGTTACCTTTCAGAGAATATGTACCTCAAATTCGAGTATCTAAACTTTTATCTTCTAAAACGTTATATGAGCCTAATTATTTTGCTTGAAAAATACTTTATTCATGTTGTAATTTTACATGGTGGGCTTTGTGCACAACTTGTTACGTTACAATTTATGGCTTTTGCATTGCACTGAAGTGTTTATTTATTGTTTTTGCTCACAATTCGTAGCAGAACTAAGTTATGATGTCAAGTGAAGTGATAGGAATTCAGAAGACGGTGATACATGTGTTAGGTAATAATCGTTCCTACGACACTTATACTATTTCAATATTTCTCAGTTGTTTCTACTTTAAACAAATAAATGTCTCGAGACTCAGTTCTCCTGGACAGATTGTTTGCTTGAGTATCTTAATCAACAAACAGATCAAAGCTGTAGTTCTTGAATTTCGACTAACGTTCATAAATCATCAGTTATTTCTTCGTGTTTATTATAGTGATTTTTTATGGTACCTCCATGCTATACTTTTCAATGTGTTAAATGCTTGAAAATATCAAAACTTCCAGAAACTGTTAAAAGGCCTTCAAGTTCATCAAAGTGATTAAACAATCCTTTATTTGAGGAGTAATGTTATAGTAAAAGTTTTGTATATTTACGGTTGAGGCTTCTGAAATATTAAATGTGCAGTCACCATTCCATAACCACATGACGAAAAAGTAGTGTTGAGTTGTGATGAACTAGTAAATATTATACTTTGGTAAATACTTTATGATGGGTCTATATTTCTCTTTTTGATTGCACTAAAGATCAGTAAATAACTGGAACTACTCGGTATAACCATTTACTTCGTAAGTTTCGTGTAGGGTTTTCGTTGAACTCCAGTTTTAGTTGCCCATACTCAGACTACGATTTCATGGATCTCCTGGTATTTTACAATAACTGACTTTTAAATTTGATCCGACTCTTTAATGTTACTAAGCCATAATCAATGTTGTTTAGCTGTCTCGGATTTGGTAATTTCGAAGACATTAATGTTTGACTTTGTGTTATGAAGATGTGCCCATAGTGCAAATGTTTGCTAATTACTTGGAACAGTTTCACGTGACCTTATTTGTGAAGTTATTTTACTCCTAACTTCTTATTCTAGGATGTGAACCACCTATCAAAACGTTTAAATTTTGAGGCTAGTGCACTCCATTAGCTCTTATGTATAAAACTCAATCAGAAACTAGAACGTTTTATGTCCCAAACTGGGTTTGGAGGTGTAAGTATGAATACTTGTACTGTAGGGATTACCATAACCTTTTGTATCGTGTGTAGTAAATTCGAAAACTTAAGTTTCTTATTTTATGCTAACAGTCGTCGGTTCTGGGCACTATGACACGAAATTTAGATTTAGTACTCATTGATGTCGGTCATACTACTCACCGACTAAGTTTTACCGGAATGACAATCTTTCCGCTGGCAAAACTCGGTCAATTAGTTATGTTATCAGAGATTTGTTTCTGTACTTTATTGTAAGTCTACTAAATGCCTGACTTCTTGCTACTAAGAAGTCTAAATTTTCATTTTACTAGTAATTTACAGAATCTAATTATTCTGTAACTACTGGTTAACAGTGATTAGGCTACTCAGTTATTCTGTAGTAATAAGCAACACATTTTTTGGTATCGTAAATCTGCTTTGAAATTACTTTGAAAATATATTCCATACTTGTTTTTATTTATTAGATATCATATACTCCATTTACTTGTGTAATATGTTTTATTTTTGCTATACTGGACTTGTTAACATAAAGTATTTGTTCATATGTGGATTAGTTAGATAAAACAAGCTCAAACTTTTGTGCTTCTTTAAATGATTATGTTGTGGGTGGTTTAATTGTACAATAGTAGTATCACAAGTTCACTATAAAGTTTTTAATTTTCTAACTTTTCAGAACTGGCTTTTATGACGCAATGGAGAAGCAGAAAAGTAATTATTTTAACAAAATAGTGTATAGACGACATTTCTCAAGAAAACAAACCTTGGATTTTATGTTTTTCTTTACATTATCTTTGATTCTTGTTACATCAACTTCATATTTAGTTTATATTAATCAGGGCCTGAGTTTAAACTATTTTGAATATCCGCTTAATGTGGATTTGTACGTGATATATGAAAATGAGTTCAAAATGATGAACAACAAGGCATCGGTTAAACCTATAAATCCTGTTAAATTTAACGCAATTCTCCAACCAATACATTCTTGTAAATTGTCCAATGAATCTGATGCTTCACCAGATCTAGTTATTTTTGTCAAATCAGCATTGTTACACTTCGAATCACGTAATAATATACGCCAATCTTGGGGTAATTCAAACTGTTTCCGTTATTTCGGAGTGCGTGCTCGAACTCTTTTTATTCTCGGTAGATCAGGTTCCGCCGATTGGGAGCATTCCAGTACTCAAAATCTGGTATTACAGGAACATTTAAAGCATAACGATATAGTTCAGTTTGATTTCATTGAGGACTATCATAATGTTACGTATAAGCTGATAGCGACATTAGACTTTGGTATCAATGAATGTTCCTCTCCTCGATTTTTCACTTTGATTGACGACGATTTCATATTGCATCCGTCTAATTTGCTTCGGACACTTGCTGAAGTTACTGAAACTCAGTATTTGAACTATATAGCTGGTGATGTGTTGCGTATCTCCAAACCGATGAGGTTCCCGTTCAATAAATGGTATATATCCTACTCAGACTATCCATACAGTTTGTATCCACCCTTTCCTACTGGCGGAACTATTATTCTTAGCATGCCTGTTGCAAAGCTTCTTTCCGTTGGTCTGAGATATACCAAATTACTTCCTTTTGAAGATGTTGTAATCGGCCTTGTATTATATAAACTGGGTATTAGCCCTGTACATTTGGATGGTGTTCTTGCAGTTCGTCAACCAGACGATCATATTGGTGATCTCATAAGTATTCATGGGTATGGTGATAGTTCCTTTTCTTTATCTAGTTGGAATAAGCTTGGTTTACAGACTATTTGCAACGAGTAGCTTGTTTTCTTGGTTGCTTCCTTGTTATTGTTTGTATATTCAATATGTCACAGTTTGTTAACGTTATGTTAACCTTGGAGAATTTCTAGTCAACTAATATTCACTTTTTGATTTGCTGATAACTTCTTTGAAAGTGAAGTTACTTAGTTACTAGTAAAAATGTCACACCTAAAGTTTCGCATGCTGTTTGTTACTCAACTTGCCAAATAACTAATCACAAACTATCTAACTGTAATGTAAATATTTATAAAACTCTCATCTTGTAAATAAGTCGTAACTACATATGTTTCATTTCAAATTAAAAGTAACTTGCTATAAAAACATTCGTAATACTTTTTTATTTGTACAGATATTGAGAATCTGAGAAGTTAATGCATTACTAAAAGTTATTGCCTCCTAACAGATTCAATGTTTCTTAACGGGAAAGAAAGTAGGCTATCTGAGATAAAAATACAGTTAAGTATTAGTTGTTAGGTATTCAATCTTTGGTCTATCCGTCTGGGTGATTAGATCAAAGCTTATACTTTCTTAAATTTTTATGTCTGACTGATAACCGAGTCGAATATTGATTAAATTAACGGGAAATAAATGTAGTGTGTAAGATAATGAGGTAGAAGTTTACGTCTTTTAACTCATGTTATACATGACCTCAATAATTTTAATTATGGATTAATAAACTTAAATAGTTGAACCACTTTCCGCTGTAATTTTGGGTTTGCTGGAAAAGATGTTTGTAGAGTTGTATTTTTGCTAAATATTAGCCTTTTGTGATCTCAGGCTGTATATTATTTCTATTGCTTAACAAAACATAGGTTACTTGAGGTGAAATTCGTTTTTGTCTCCAGTTCTTACTATTGAGTAATGAATGGCTGATTTGGTGGAGTTTTTTCTTCTATGTAATTCACAGTGCCTGAAATATGGCTTCATTCACTTGTTTCTCTAAGTGTAAAGTCTGTTAACATATAATCGTTTAATCAGTAACGGGTTTGGCTATTACTTCTTTCTAAATCCAGTAGTTTTGTAATTATGAAGTAGTTTCATTTGTTATTTCCAGATTCTCTTGTTCACATATGTGATGTCATTGACAGGTATGATGATCTGTGATAGGTTTACAAAGAACGTTATTCATAAGTAACAAATGGGTAGCAACATATACAATCTCAAAGTTTTCGAAATATTGTCTTGTAATGGTGGAGAAGATTTGTAACTCAGGTGGATGATTTTGGTGGTTTTGTTCTCTGAGCTGGATGGTTTGGTCGTGTCCTAATGGGCAGTTGATTGGAGGTCTATATCTGACACTTGTTGGTAGAACATGCTGGCGAGGACACTCATGGAGAAAATATAGTTGTTCTCAAGTGGAAGCCTGCCTTTTGGCGAAATTCTCCCATTTTCGAACAACGAGTAGCGTATTACGCTCATATGATTTTGAGATGGTGGAGAAGATTTGTAGCTCAGGTGGATGATTTTGGTGGAGTTTTGTAATAACTTTTCTTACTAAATGACTGTGAAAAGGTTACTGCACGTCATTGCTGTGGTTATAAGCACGTAACGGATGGTAGCTGATTGTGTTGAAAATAAGCGAAATCATGTCCTCTCTCAAATAAACCGTCTTTGATAATCGAAAACTAATAAGATAGGGTTGAGACTGGATCTGGAGCCGCTCTAGAGTTACTGTTGGTTTCAAGTCCGCATAAACGAAAAGATTTGGTTGTAGGGTTAGTAATTCCGCTTCATATGAAAAAGTTTTGCTAAAGAAAGCACACCAGTCAAAACGATCACTCAAAATCTGCCCTAGAGATAAAGAGTCTTCGTGTATACGACATGATGTCTCATAATAAAAGCCGAAATCATAGAGCCGATACTCTTTCTGGCAACCAAAGCAGTAATTAATATAGTTATATTGAGTATTTGAAAAATGTGGGATACTAGTACGACCATTCAAATAGCGGCAAAATTGAGATATTGTCTGGGAATGTTTGTTATAAGTGAAACGCATTGGACACAATCTGGACAAAAATGTTAACTTCAGGAGAGCTTTTGTTGTACTCTTATTTTATTTGAACACATTAATATTGGTACAAGAGAGCGCCAATATATATGCGCCACACAAAACAATGAGAATTCGAAGAGAAAGAAAAATAAAGGTAAGGAGCGTGAAAAAAAAGAACAATAACGAAGAGGTTGGTGTAATGTAGTGTAGTAATAATGAGGGAACGGAAAGGTATAATCAGAAGAAATCTTTCAGATAAGGGAGATACAACCACTTTTTATGAAGTAAAAGAAATTTACAGCAGGACCGTCACTGTCTTCCATTCTGAGCCATATCTGATAACGTCTCTAGCCACTGTTGCACCATCTCTCGGACCCCAACCAGGGAGTAGTGAAGGACCAACACAAGTCAGCCCTTTGAAGCTTTCTTTCATACCACGACACCATGTCATGCACTGACCAGCTCTCCGCTTTTTCCAACCAGTCCCAGCGTCGGCAAATAATGCACGACGTGGAATTCTCTGGAACGACATTCGTAGAACATGTCTAAGCCACCGAAGTCGGTGTTTCAAGATGACGTTTCGCGAACCCACAACTGACTGTACTCGCCATTTTCATGGCGTCATGCAATTGCAACCAATGCTTATCTATACTTTTCGGTGGAATGGTAGCTAGCCTAGAGGCTAGCTCGGTTCGATACTTACTTGCAACAGAAGTTGCAACCAGCTTGCTAACACCAATCCGTTGGTGGCGGTCACTTCGTTGTCCACTGAAAAGTAAGGCAAGATTGACGCAGACCAAGGCATGGTCAGAGTCCAGATAGGTACTCTTAGCAAAAACTCCTGAGTGTTACAATATATACTGGGAGAAGTGGAAACTGCCGCGGCAAGCAGCTGAAAAATGATTAAAGCAGCAATAAATTCAAGATATCAGGAAGTGCTTGGCCACAACAGACATCAGCATAGAATTTGGACCCCTGTAGACAGCGTAGGTAAGGTTCAAGAGATGAAAACAAGAAGACGGCATTCGGCAACAATAGAAATAATTAAGAGAAAGCTGAGGTATTGGCTGGATATACAGAAACAAACAGGCAAGTGATAAACGGCTTGAGAGTGAGCAGATGAGAATATGTTGATGACCTGGCAACTACATCACTAAAAGCTGAAAGAGAAGAAAGTATGGGAGAAATATATGATAAAACGAAGAAGCTAGCAAGGAAATGTAGTAGATCAGAGCGACCGATCGAGAGCAAAGAAGTAAAAGTAGTCACTGATGTTCAAGAAAGGTGTAACAGCTAGAAAGAGCACTTTTAATATCTTTTGAATAGATCAGTAGATTTCTAAACCCGCCGGATATCGAAGCATCAAACACTAACCTTCCCGTTATTGATTAAGCGCAGACCATGGGGGAACTTAACAATAGCAGACAGATTGGGGTCAGTAAAAGAGTACAACTAGATGACATACTGAAGCACTATCATCAGATAGAGGCAAGTGCAAATGTACTCTGTTCTAGTCAAGAGGAGTTTCAAGAAAGAACAAGTAGCAGAAGACTGATGGAAGGAATACTTCGCAAATATACCGAAAATATGAGATCTTTGTAAATGTGTGAACTACAGGGGTATCATGCTAGTATCAATACCAGACAAAGTTCTCAGGCGGATGTCACTGGACAGAACTCTCAACCTTGGGATCAACAAGACGGGTTTCTTAAAGATTAATCATGTGCCAACAAATTAGAGACATTATTGAGCAACCGATTAAATGAGACTCATCACTATACATCAATTTCCCTTATTATGAGGAAGCGCTTGACAGAGTGGATGGGAAAGCTCTGTAGAATTCTCATTGATATTATAGAGTACCTCATAAGATCATCATCGTAATATAGAACTAAATTCCAAAGTTGTGTGTGGAGAGTTCACAAATGCATTATGATGGAAGATCAGTGTCAGACAAAGCTACTTACCATTACTTTTCCTCTTACGTTTGTCGACTGGATTATAATAACCTTCACATTCCGTAAAAAGCACGGAATACAGCGAACACCTTTGTCACAGCCTTACATTCAGCAAAAAGCAACGAATTCAAACGAAGTCAGCCAATGTAGCAGTGGTTTCCACGGAAATGGGTTTCTGTGTTAACAACACAACGGACACCAAAAAAGTCACACTTTGTGCTCAAGGTTTGGAAGAGGCAAGGGGCTCTACACACCTGGGTAGTATCATCGATACACAAGAAGGATATGATAATGGTGTGAAGAAATGAATCGGCAAAGGAAGAGCAACACTTTAACTGCAGAATATCTAGAACTAAGAAGTACTGTCACTCAAAAATGAAGTCAGAATTTTTAAAGTAAAAATTAAAACAGTCCTATTGCACGGAGCTGAAATTTAGAGAACTGACATCAACCATAACATATAGTTAATCATAAACAGTTACCTACGTAAGATGCTGCAGATTCATTGGCCAGATACCATCAACAATAACCTACTGCAGCAGGAAAGAAATTACCTCTTTGAGGAGGAAATTAGCAGATGACATTGAAGATAAGTACAATATTATATGTGGAGTCCAATCACAACAGAACCTCTAATTTACAATCCTGAAAATGAAAAGGAAAGGGGCATACCAAAGAACATGTTACTTCATAAATTGGAGGCAGTCATCAAAACCATAAATAGCATTTGGCAATAACTTGAAAGGTGGACGCTGGACAGTGTTGGAGATCTCTGGGTGGCGATCTAAGCCCATAGAGATATGACGAGCCTAAGTCTTTCAGTGAGAGTACAATAATAGTTAATCATTAAAAAAATTAGTTTCTTGATAAAATATGAGTGAAGATTCCGAAGTGCAATGTAGCTGTCGTTAGTTTAAGAAATCTCCCTTGCTGTTATGGATACTGAATCTCTGATTACTTATTAATAGGAGTAAATTGATTGAAAGTCTATATAGTAATTAAAACGCAATCTTTATTTGATCGATTTCCTTATTCAATGTAATTCTTGCTCGTCATAGCGCTAATTTGTATTGATCAATCCAGTGTGATTTATTGTTCATTTGACTTTTACCCAGTTTAATATTCAGTCATACTAATTTTTTTATTTGACAATTTATTTAACTAATCATCACTGGATGTAATATGTGTAAAGTGAAATGAATTCGAATTTGAATGACTCTTCTTTAGTCTCTGTCAAGCTTTAACTTCTGTCCTTAGTTAAAGCGCAGGGAAAATGGGGTTATGGAAGTTTTATTCATTATGATTGAAATCAGAGCTACAAATTATTCATTTAGCTCCTAAACGTATTTAATCTATACTGACGTTTTTCAAA